AGTCCTGGCTCCCTGCTCTAACCACTAGACCCCGCTCCCCTCCCAGAGCTGGGGACAGAACCCAGGAGTCCTAGCTCCCTGCCTTCCCCCGCTCTAACCCTCTAGGCCCCCCTCCCCTCAGAGCTGGGGCCAGAACCCAGGAGTCCTCGCTCCCAGCCCCCTGCATGGTCTCATTCACATTTCTCACACCAGGCCCTGCTCCTGCCCGGCTCGCACTGGCAGTTCCCCACAGGAGCAGCTCTATGTATTTTGCCGCCCCAAGCACGGCAGTCAGGAGGCTTTCGATGGCATGCCTGCGGGAGGTCCCCTGGTAACGCGGATTCGGCGGCGTGCCTGCGGGAGGTCCGCTGGTAACGCGGATTCGGCGGCACGCCTGCGGGAGGTCCCCTGGTAACGCGGATTCGGCGGCGTGCCTGCGGGAGGTCCGCTGGTAACGCGGATTCGGCGGCACGCCTGCGGGAGGTCCGCCAGTCCCACGCCTTCCGCGTACCCACCGCGGAATTGCCGCTGAAACCGCGGGACCGGCGGACCTCCCATAGGCGCACCGCCGAAGGCTCCCTGATTGCCGCCCTCACGGCGACTGGCAGGCCGCCCCCCCACGGCTTGCCGCCCTAGGCATGCGCTTGGTGCGCTGGTGTCCGGAGCCGCTGCTGGCTCCCCATCACCTGGTGGCAGGTGGAGTTGTGGAGGCACTCGCAGACCTGGAGACACCTGGGTCCAAAGGTACCAGGGGGACACTCTGCCAGGGGGGCTCAAGGGCCCAGGTTAGAATCCGTGGGGTTAAGGGGGGTGGGAGGCAGGGGAAGGCCAGTCCCAGGGAGCGGCTTGGAGCCATACAGCTCCGCATCCCACCTCCTGACTGCTGGAGGAGACTGATGGTCCGTATAACCCAATATTAGAGCTGGCTGGGAAATCATTTGTGTTCCAGCAAAACGTTTTGGTGAACGACAAACAAGCAAAACGTTTGGATCAAAATTTTTCTTCCAAGTTTCCGGGTTTTCATCCAAAATCTGAAAACCCCAAAATGCTGTGGCTGAAAAGTTATATTTTTTTTTGACTGTCAACGGTCAGAAACAAAGTGGAAAATATTCGGGTTTTTGGCTAACATTTTCGGGGGAGTTCAGTTGCCAAAAACCCGAATTTTTTTCCAGATTTCTGTTTCTCCAATGAAAACCCGGAAAATGTAACCAAAATCAGACATTTCCCGGGGAAATTTCTGTTTTAACCCAAAAACCCGTTTTTTGTCAATCAGCTTCCCTCAAGACCCGCCCAGAAGTCCTGTGTGGGTGCGGTGCTCCCCTCGGCCAGCAGTGGGCGCTGCAAGTGGCTTCCCAATGTGGTCCCGGGGCCGTCATGCAGCCCTGTGCCTTCCCCGGGGCGTTCCCGGCTTACTGGTTTCACAGTGGGCGCCGGTATACCCGGAGGAGCACAGACATCTCCCCGTCGCCGGGTCGCACTGAGCTTCGTTCTGGCACTCGCATGCCTGGGTACAGCTCTCCCCGTAGCTCCCCAGGGGGCAGCCTACAGAGAAGAAAGCAAGAGGGTGAGGTCTGCATGGGGAAGGAGACGTGTGATGCCCAGGCCCCCGCCCGGCACAGCCCGTACCTTCCGAGCAGTGTCTGCCGGTCAGGCCGGCCGGACAAGAGCAGGTCCCATCCACGGTGCTGCACCGGCCTCCGTTTGCGCACTGGCAGGTGCGGCCACAGGCCTCTCCCCACGTGCCGGGCGGGCAGGCTGCGGAGGAGAGGAGACGTCTGTCAGTCCCACTACGCACTGCTCTTCCCCGATGAGCTACCGAGTCTATGTGCGTGAGACCCCATCGCCCCCTGGTGGCTGCCCACAGAGAGGATACAAGTCCTACTTCTGCTTACCAGCTGAAGGAGATCTCCTTTAGCTCAAATGGCAGAGGCCTGCGTTTGTGGGGCTGACAGAGCCTCCAGGCCTCCCAGATCATAGTCCTGGGGACCCTGTTGTACCCAGATTCCTTATAACTTCTACAAGTGCCTACCCCTCCGCAACTTCTTCCCTGTTGACCCGTGCTGCCTGTGAGTCGGGACGCCCCCCCGCAGTGGACGTGACTCACGCTGTGAGCAGTCGCTGCCCGTCCACCCGGGAAAGCAGTCGCAGGAGCCGTCCACGTGGTGGCAGGTGGAGTGGTTGGAGCATCGGCAGGGCATCGTGCACTTCTTGCCGTAACGCCCGGGCTGGCAGGCTGCGGCAAGGGAAGAAGAAATGGAAAGGGGTGTGGAGGGTGGGGGGCGAGTCACGTACCTGCCCTAACCCGGCCCCGTCGGACGGCTGCTCGTGTGAAGCGAGTTTGCTGGGTCTCAGCCCAGATCCTGATGGGGACCAGGCAAAGCCACTGCCACAAATCGGTGCCGACCGACCCCGTTCGTGGGCAGCAGCCTCAGCAGAGAGGCCTGAACGGGCCCAGGGAGACAGAGCTCCTTGTTACGCCCTAGAGGGGACAGGTCACAGGGACACACGGGCTGCTGTGTTCCCATGTGGATTTCTCATTCCCTCAGGGGAGCAGGGATGGGGTTTGCCCCCTCCATGTATCCATCTCCCCGAACCCTGGCCGGCTCCTGGGATGCCCGTACAGTGGCCTCTGACCGTGCCCGCTGCACCCAAACCAGCCCTAGGTGGGGGGCAGGCTCGAAAGGACGATGCCAGTCCCATCTCGCGGGCTGGTCACACGTGGGCTTTGTGCGACGGACTTTGCTCTGCTCCGGCACTGGACGGAGCCGGGACAGGCCAGCTCCCCGCGGGGCTGGGCAATGCAGGAGCAGGACCCCCTCGCCCAGCCCGCTGGCTCTGTTGGCATGGCACTTACGGCGCTGGCAGGCGGGGCCGCGGTACCCGGGCGCGCAGCTGCAGCTCCCGTCCTCTGAGGAGCAGACGGCTCCGTTCTTGCAGGCGCAGGGCTGGCTGCAGTTCCGCCCCCAGAAGCCGTCGTCACAGAGCAGGCTGCAGCGAGGCCCTGGGGTGGCAAGAAAAGGACCAGGGTGTTCTCTTAGTGGGGACCCCTCCTCACCACGCAGCTGAGGGGGGGCAAACAGGTCCCAGCGCCAACCCAGTCCCCTGCGTGGAGAAATAAAACCTCTCGCATCCCAAGCTGTCAGGGATGCCAGCGTCACTGTCCACACTCGACAGATGGGGAAACTGAGTCACCACACAGCTCCCTGCAGGCCCTACGGTCTCCCAGCCCAGTGTCAACCCAGAAACAGCCCTCTTTGAAGCTGAATTCCCATCACTCAGACTCCAGTTAGCTCCTTCTAACTCCAGCGCGGCCCCCGACTCGAGTCTCGTCCACACACACGAGCCCTTCGCTCCAGTGAGGGGAGGTTCTTAACTCGAACTGGCCGGCCCGTCAGCAGGCACCGGCTGGCACGGCTGGGGTGCTGCTATTCCCCAAAAGCCTGCCGGAATTCCCGCTGGGCCACACGTCCCTGCCATCTGGAAACCTCGCAAACCTGAGCCGAGTGTAACCTGCAGGGAGACCGGGACGACGGCTCGGAGAGGTGTGAACCGCCCTCCTTCCCCTCAGGGCGGAGTTACTGCCGGGCGCTTTGCTAAGACCGGAGCAGGAGCTAGTCTGGCTCTCTTTGGTGCCATGCGTGGGTGGCGTTTAGACAAGCACCATCACTTCATTTTGTCCTCGGCCCAGGGGGAACCCGCTGAGTCCAGCCATGCCCCACAGAGGAGAGACGGAGCTCAGGCTGCCCGGAGACCTCATGCCCATATATCCTGGACCTCTGCACAATTCACTGTGAGCTGGGCCTCCTGCAAGCACCTCAAGTCCAGTGGGTGGAGCTTATGTTGTGGGTGGAGCCTGGAAGAGTACCACCCCCTTCTGTCCCTGACCTAGCCATGCCCATAAGAGCTGTGCATTGAGCTGGCGGGGATGCCAAGGGACTCCCTGGATGCCATCATGGCCAGAGACAGAGTCCTCCCGTCCCCTCCCCAGATCCCTGCCTCCCACCTGGCCCCCTCACCTGTCCATCCCGGCCGGCAGTGGCACTGTCCCGTGACGGGGGAGCAGCCGTCCGCGTGGCTGCAGTCACACTGACTACTGCAGCCGGGCCCGTAGGCACCGTTCTGTTTGCGAGAGGGGGATGCAACCCGAGTCAGTGGCACTGGGATGGATTGGGGTGGGTGATTTTAACCCAGAACCCTTCCCGGTCCCATCCTGCTGGTGCATGGGTCTAACCTGCCCCAAGCCTCCCCGGTCTGACCCCCACCCTGCCAGTGCATGCAATCTAACCTATTCCCGCTCCGCCCCGCCAGTGCCCACGGTCTAACCCACGCCTCCCCTGCTCCACAAACCCCCCTCCCCATTGCCATTAAATCACCCAGCCCCCTTCCCAGGCTGGGCCAGCAAGTGACTTTCCCAATCAATCTGTTAGCCCATTGTTGTAATTATTTTGTCCAGTGGGACAATCACAGGCAGCCGAGATCCCGGCTCTCGCGTGGGCACCGAGTGGGGACGGGCACCGTTAGAGGCATCCCCGTCTTTGGACCTTGCTCTGCAGGGGGTGCGTGGCAGGGGGGTGGCTAAGGGCTTGATGCAAAGACCACGGAATGCAGGCTCAGGTCCTTTCATGACAGCTGGGACGGCCGTAAAGGGCGCAGAGACCCCCGGGCGCGGGAAGTGGCTGGTCCGAGGGGGGTGGGAACTTACCGCGCACGGCTCCTGGCACCTGCTGCCGTGCCAGCCGGCAGCACAGGAGCATGCCCCGCTGACGGGGCTGCAGGCGGCGCCGTTGGCGCACCGGCAGGTCTCGTTGCACCCGGGGCCCCAGGTGCCAGCGGGGCAGGGGCTGGAACAATCCCCTCCGTGCCAACCTGCGGAGGGGCGGAGAGGTTGGCGGGAGGATCGACGGGCCGTTGGAATCGGAGCGCTTGGGAAATCCCGGCAGCTCAACGGGCGGAGAAGCAGGGCAGTATGGGGGCAATGCCGTGCCCAGACAATAGCCCCTATGGGGGCTATACTGTCCCACCACAGTCCCATAGCCAGATGTGTTTGGGTATTAGAGGGGAGCGAAGCTTTCAGTGGGTCCCTGGAAGGAGCCTGCACTCAGCCACGGCTCCAGCCCGAGGGTACCCGGCACCACCCACCTCTGGGCGCCCCAGCTCGCGGCTGGCTGCCGGGGCTCCGGCGAGGGCTCTGGGGGGTGTGGAGCACGCCTGCTGGGAGAGGTCACCCGTGGAAGGAGTGGCATGGGACGTCCTGCCAGACCCTGAGCCTGGCGGAGGGTTCGTGCCTGGAGCTGAGCCGGGGGAGGGGGAACCCGGGCTGGTTCCAGCCGGCCCCTGCCCACACTCCAAACCCAGGGAGCCGGGGCGGAGAGGGGTATTCACAAGACCTTTCCCGAGTGAACTTGAAAGGGCTCCCCCATCCCAGCTAGAGCCCCCGCCCCGGGGGTGGGGGGAGGGGAGCCGGGGCGGTGCCCTCCCTGTCCTGAGCGATCCCAAGGGCGCCCGCCTGCACCCTACCTTCTTTGCAGACGCAAGTGCCATCGATGGGGGAGCAGGTGAAGGCGTTCTTGCAGGCGCACTGCATGGAGCAGTTCACGCCGTAGGTGTCGGCGGGACAGTAGCTGGAACAATGCGCCCCCTGCAAACACAAGGAGACAATGACGGGGGGGGGGTATTTAGAGTCGGGGGGGCAGTTACTCGCCATCTGCTGACCTGGGGCGGGTCTGAACCTCCCACCCAGAGGCGAGTAGCCGTAATACTTTGTGTTGCTACAAAGCCAACCACCTAAGCATCACAAAGTTATCCCTGCTCTAATCACTAGATCCCACTCCCCTCCTCGAGCCGGGAATAGAACCCAGGAGTCCTGACACCCAGTCCTCTCCTCTAACCACTAGACTGCGCTCCCTCTCTCAATCCCCATAATTACCAAGACATTAACCGCCTTGTTTCCCGGTGTCCCCACAGACTAGGCCCCAGACTCACCGTGTACCCCGGGGTGCAGTGGCAGAGCCCCGTGGCCCCATCACACGTCCCTCCGTTCAGACAGAGGCAGGGCTCCTGGCAGTTGGCCCCGTAGTATCCGTGGGGGCAGGTCTCGTTGCAGTGCAGGCCCGCCCAGCCCGGTTTGCAGGTGCATTCTCCGCTCATGGGGTGGCAGCTGGGCACCGGGGGGAGAGAGAAACATGGGCCCATCAGAGCGCCCCCGCGGAGCAGCTGGGGTGGGTTTGTGCCAATCCCGCGGGGCTGGCCCTTTCCCTGAGAGCAGCAGGACGGTAGGGGCTGCGGGTGTCCCGAGCCGGATACCCCATGTGCGTGCCCACTCAGTGGCTCCTGGGTAGAGCATGCATGTTCTGGATCCGGGACCTTTGCCCTCCAGATTCCCCTGCCCACCACTTCTGCAAATGGGAATCCTGCATTCCAGCACTGGGGGGCATAGGACGGATGGTGCCGTGTTATTCCCCTTATGCCCTGCAGAGGGCAGCAACCCCACAGGACTGGAAATAGGGACCATATTCCCCCTCCCCTGCACACTATTAACCCCTAACGCGCTGGCACGTTCCAGGCTCCCACATGCACGATGGGTTGGGGCGAGGGCCCGCTCAGGTGGCAGCCTACCTTTGGCTGTGCTGGGGGCTGCAGAGACAGGGCAGGTGGCAGGCCAAGCCGTAGAGGCCGTCCAGGCACTTGCGCTCCTCGCAGCGCGGCCCGTAGAAGCCGGCCTCGCACAGGCAGGCCCCGTTGATGTGGAAGCAGCGGCCCCCGTTGGTGCAGTCACATGCCTGGCCGCAGTCCTGGCCGTACTTGCCGATGGGGCACTCCTCCTGGCACCTGTTCGGGAACGGGCAGAGGGAGGGGAGGACATGCCCCCAGGGTCAGACCGGGGGCAAGCCCAACGCCAAGGGAGGGAGAGTCAGTCAGCGCTGGGGTGAGCAGACAGGGGTCGCTGTACCTGGTATCTCTCGCCTGCTCGATCTGGGTGTCCCCTGTAGGCTGAGGCCGTCAAACTCATTCCATGCAAGACCCTGGGAAATACTGAGGACCCTCCCGCCAGCTGCTCAGCAGGGTGCTATTCCCCTATCAGCCTCCGGGGGCGCCCGGGAGGACACCCCTGCACAGCCTTTCAGGCCGTCTTAGCCGCAGTCCCTCAGGAACTTGTAGGGATCTCGATGGCCCAGAATGGCCCAGAGAGCAGGGAAGCGAATGGAGCTTGGGAAGGGGCCCGTGAACCTCCAGGGTCCCTGAGCAAGACAGGCAGGGCCAGCGGGGCTGCCACCGGTGTGAGAGCCCGGAGGGGAAGCTGGCTGCAGGTGGGGAGCTCAGCTGCAGAGGTCACGGGGTGGTCAGTGTCGCATTGCTCAGCGCCTGGATTTAACCCACAGGGGCCACGTCTGCACCAGGGGTGCGTGCACCATGGTCGCTGCATCGGCACACACTCCTCGTGCAGGCCAGCTGCACCAGGGTAAACCCTGACTCGCACGTGGGCAATGTGTCCACGTGAGGGGTTTGCACTGGTGCAAAAATCCCCAGGCCTAAGACTGTGAATGAAACCCTCAGTGAAGGCCCAGAGCGCAGAGCAGGGCTGGGATGGGGTTCTGCCAGCCAACGTGGGCAGTGTGTCCACGTGAGGGGTTTGCACTGGTGCAAAAATCCCCAGGCCTAAGACTGTGAATGAAACCTTCAGTGCAAGCCCAGAGTGCAGAGCAGGGCTGGGATGGGGGTCTGCCAGCCAGGCCTGGCTGTTTGTTTAGGCAACAACAACACGACTGTGCTAAAGCGCCGCTCAGCGGAGGGGCTCAAAGCCTTTGCCAAAGGATCATCATTTTTAAAATGGGGAAACTGAGGCACGGAAGTGCTTTGCCGAGGGTCACACGTTAAGTCTGTGGGAAAGTCCTGGCTCTGCCCACTAGACCCCACTCCTTTCCTGAGCAGGGAATAGAACCCAGGAGTCCTGATTCCTAGTCCCCCTTGCTCTAATAGACCACATCCCCTCCCGGGACCAGGAAAAGAACCCAGGATCCTGGATTCCCACTCCCCTAATCCAACCTCGAGACCACACGATTTCTTTCACTTAAACCGCCAACAAAAACCCCTTCCTAGCGATCCATTTAGTGCTTGTCACTCTTGTTTGATTCTGGGTTTATTTTTTCCTCTCCATTGTTTGCGACACCCTCTCAGAAGCTGGAAAAAGCCCTCACTTCCTTCTCCCGCTGGCTGCGTCCCTTCCATGTGGAAAACTCCGAGTGATTTCCCTCCTCGCCCTGGCCCAGCTGCTGTTTACTTCCCCGTAGCACAGCTGGGGAGATCATCCCTCACTCCAGCGTTTAACCAGCGCTCCCCCGGCTGGCAGGGCACTGCCTGTGCCGTAAGCCAGCCAAAAATCCGCACAGCCAGGCAGTCAACGCATTGCCTGGAGGATTATATGCATGCATTACGGTAACAATGGCTATTCATACGGTGCATTACATTATGTGCATTACGGTAGTAGTAAGCACTGTACATACACGTAGCAAGAAACAGTCCCTGTCCCAAATAGCTTCCATCTCAATAGACAGGACAAAGGGTGGGGAGGGGAAACTGAGGCACAGAGGGGGGGTGAGGACATGCCAAAGTCACATGGCAGAGCTGGGGATAGACGCCAGAAGCCTCATTCTCAGTAAGGCCCTTTACACCGCTCTGGCCGGACAAAACAGCCTTAAGGCGGAGGACATTTCAGTGACGCGCATTTTAAGGCCCCTTTACATTGGCAAAGCCACATAAAGGGGCGTTGGCGTAACTGAGAAGGAGGGTCCAGGTCTCCTAAGTCCCAATCCAGTGCTTAATCCATGGCAAAGTGCCTGCATTTCACGCACTCCAGTTTGTAACCCCTCCCCCCCACACACACATTAACACAAGAGTGTGTGAGTCCAGGAGCCGGTGCGTGGGTGGGTTGACACGGAAGGGTGTGAGGAAAAGGGCATTGGTGCGCACATGTGTTTGAAAGGCCACGGGTGTCCCTGAGGGAGGCTGCGCGGGACAGGGATGTAGGGGAGCGCGCAGTCACAGCTGTGGGGGAAATGTAAGGGCTGAACCTCAAGCGGCCGCAGTGAGAAGTCAGGGGGCCGTCAGACAGGAGTGAAGTAGGAAGGGGCCCGCCCCACCCCGAGCTCGCCTGTAATTCGAGCACAGAGCATGTGTGAGGGTGAGGCCTTGTCCACACTTAAAAACTTTGCTGCTTTAACTAGATCCGTATAGTTAACTGGGTACAACAAACTCCCAATACGGACGCAGTTCTATCAGCATCAAGGTGTTTATACTGATAACGCTTATTCTGGTTTGGGAATTAAAATAAGCGACACTGGGGTAAGGCAGCTTTATACTGGTATAACTGAGTCCATGGCGGTAGCATTATTTTGGCCAAAAAACCCACAACCCACCTTGCTAACTGACTTCACAGACTGTGCAAAAGGGACCCCCGTGATCCTCCAGTTCAACACCCTGTGTAACACAAGCCAGAGAAAGGCCCTGAATGAACTCCTGTGTGAACTCCAACCCATTTAGAAAAACAGCCAGTCTAGATTTACCAGCTGCCCGGATGGAGAATCCCCACACAGCCCTTGGTAAGTTATACCAGTAAAAATGTGAGGTGTGTGCGAGGGTTTGTCTACACAGGGACATTCTGGAATAACTCCCTGGGTGGACAGTCTGTTCTGGAATAAGAGCGCCTTTTATTGAGTTAGCTTGATCCACTTTGGAAACGGATTAAGCTCAACTGGAAAAATCATTCTTACACCTGGTCTACACTTAAAAGTTAGATGGACATAGCTACACAGCTCAGGGGTGCGCAAAATTCACCCCCCGGCGTACTGTAGTTAAGTTGACCTCACTTTGGGTGTAGACACAGCTAGATTAGTGGCAGAATCATCCGTTGACCCAGCTACCGCCGCTGGGAGAGGTGGATTGACTACAGGGATGGAAAACCCCCTTCCATTGCTGCAGGAAGCGTCTACACTTCGGCGCTAAGCAGCACTGTTGCTCTGTGGCGCAGTGCCCTGAGTGGACGCGTGGCCTCATTTAGAGGTGGTCGAAAATTTTGCATCTAATCAGCTTTCTGTCAGAAAACGCCCTTTTGACAAAACCCATTTTTTTCACCAAATCGCGTCAATTTCAACAAAATTTTGCGGGGGGGAAATTGGAAAAATGATTTTGAAAACATTGAAATGTCCCATTTTGACATTTCCGGAATGGAAAGTTTCGATTTTTCATTCTGAAACGACTTTTCTTTTCCAAAGGTGCTTTATTTGCTATGAATTATTTTATACCAAAAAATGGTCAAGATGTTTGTGCTGAATTTCGTTGCGTGAAAAATTTCAAAATGTTGGCTTCTTGTCCCAATTTCAGGTGCTTTTTTTGTTACAATCTTGACTTGTTTTTACAGGATGAAAAACCAGTTTGCCAAGCAGCTCTACTCTTAATCCAAATAAAAGTGTCCACACAGGGAGTTACTCCAGAATAGCTACAGACAACACTTTAAATTCCCACCCTAACTTAATCCAGATTAACTCCCCTGTGTAGACAAACCCTGAGAACATGTGGGTGTATCACAGAGGGGCGGCTTTAGGCGAGCAAGGGGCTCAGTAGAGACCACCTGACTGAGGTTTCTAGCTAAGCCTCATTGATTGAGGAATCTCCCTCTAAGCCATGCCAGTTGCTAGCCCCGACACAGACACGGTTCTTTCCATGGCTGCAGGGAGTCGCTCTGCCCGACCCCACTCACCGCTCTCCGGTGTAGCCCAGAGCGCACTGGCAACGCCCGGTGACCGGGTCGCACAGCCCGTTGTTGTGACACTCGCACTCCCCCAGGCAGCTCGAGCCGTACCTCCCTTGGGGGCACGGGATGGAGCAGATGGTGCCCTGCAGACAACGGAACAGCAGTGTCAGGGAAATGTCCTCTCTGGGATAGCCAGGGGACAGGGTGGGGGCCCCCGCACCACGGAGTCTGATCTCCCCCTTCCCCTGCGATTGGAGGGGATGGTCCCCGCTCAGTGCCCCCCAGACCCACCCCAAGCCTGAATGCGGCCACGGGTCAGCAGCGTGCGTGGGAGCGGGAAAGGCTGACAGCCCATTTCTCGCCTGGCTGGGGGCATCTCACAGCCCCGAGGAGACTGAATGGCGAGCGTGGCTCACGCCGCCAGGGCCGAATCAGCCGGAGACGCCACGGCAACACGAAGGTGGCAGAGGCAGCATCGCCCCACGCCGCCGCATGGAGCCAGCTCAGGGCTCGGTCCAGGCCAGCTGGGTCCCACGGGTGTGAGGGCCGGGGCCTGGGTGGCGCAGTGATCAGGGGAGGAGTCCAAACCAAAGAGGGCAGGACCCCTCTGCCCTCAGCTTGTCCCGCCCTGACTCTTTGCTCTCCGGAGGCCGGATGGGCCTGGGTTTGAATCCTGCCCGTTCCCCCCCAGTACGTACCATCCATCCTGGAGGACAGACACAGTGGGTGGTGTTTGGGGGGTGGCAGATGCCCCCGTTCTGGCAGGGGCAGTAGGCCGGGCAATGGAGCCCGTCGGAGGTGTTGGGGCATTGGGCCTCGCAGCTGGAAGGACAGGGAGAAAAGGGTGAGGGAGACGGACCCAGGCTGCAGAGTTTTCTCTCTCTCACCAAAGGCTAAAGAAATCCCACCCCGCGGCTGGGTCGGAACCAGCGCCCCCTAGAGGGGAAAGGCCCCAGATCCCATTCCCACCCCCGGGCCAGCCAGAACCCCCGCCCTGGGGCCGGATCAGAACCAGCGCCCCCTAGAGGGGAGAGGCCCCAGATCCCATTCCCACCCCCGGACCAGCCAGAACCCCCGCCCTGGGGCCGGATCGGAACCAGCGCCCCCTAGAGGGGAGAGGCCCTGTGTCCCATTCCCACCCCCCACTGCCCAGGCCAGCCAACCATTCCCCGCACTCACTAGGTACCGGTGAATCCCGCCTGACACAGACATGCCCCAGTCTCTCCATGGCACTCGAGCGCGTTCTTGCAGGAGCAATCCAGCTGGCAGCCCTCCCCGTAGGTGCCTGGATCGCAGGGGACTTTGCACATGGGGTCCTTGTACCCGGGCGAGCAGACACAGGCTCCGGTGAGGGGGTCACAAGCTCCCCCATCGCCGCACTGGCAGGGGTTCTCGCAGCGGGGCCCCCAGGACCGGCCATCGCACACTGGAAGAAGGAAGTGACTGTTGTAGCAATGACAACCCTTTGCCCTTCTGCGGACGATCTCTAAGCACATCCTACGCCCTGGTGAACGAAGCCCTGCAATAGCCCTGGGAAGAAGGGTCAGAGTTTCAGCCCCATTTTACAGGTAGGGAAACTGAGGCACCGAGCTGGGACATGTCATCCCAAGAGCCAAAAATAGAACCCAGGAGTCCTGGCTCCCAGTCTCCTGCTCTAAGCATTCTACCCCCCCTCAGAGCTGGGAACAGAACCCAGGCGTCCTGACTCCCAGTCCTGCCCACTCTCACCCATTAGACCCGCTGCTTCCCATTAAACAGATTGCTCGGTTAATGAGGGCTTAATCGTTATTGAGTCTTTCAAACCACGTGCTAGTTATTTGTCCGGAAGCTGCCACACGGAAAAGGTTGCTTGATTGTTTTAAGTGGTGGCATTATTCAGCGGGAGACAAGGGGCGGTCACTCGGGTTAAGGGGAGGGAATTTAAACAGGGATGGTTTAGGCCGAATCCGGGGAAATCTTCCTAAGGGAGACGGACAGGGCCGACGAGAGGGGCGGGGGGGAGGGGGGGGAGAAAGCTGGTACAAATTACTGGGGCCCGGCTTCCCCCCCCTTCTCGTCAGCCCTGTTTAGCCGGTCCGCCCTGTCTGCAGGGGGCCGAAAAATTTTTTCACCGGGGCCCAAACCCGCTCTCGGCGGTCCGGGAGATGGATCAGAACTCTTAGCCTCAGCTGTTAGCAAAGGGCCCCGGTCCTGCGCCCCCTCCCTCTCCCCTTGACGTAGAGGCTCGGGGGCTGCTGTTTGGGGAGCATGACATGAATAGCGGGAGGGAGGGAGGGAAAGAAAGAAAGAAAGAAAGAAAGAAAGAAAGAAAGAAAGAAAGAAAGAGCGAGCCATGGCAGACAGACCGAGGGATGCAGTGACTCAGTGGGGCTTTTGCCCACAGCTGGCTGCCCCTCGCTGAGGGTACCCTGAGCAACCCCCTCCCCTCCCGTCTGGGCCATGGGCTGCAGCCCACTCCCAAGCATTTCCTACGCAGGCAATGACCCCCAGCTCCCGGGAGCCGCCCCCGGTGCGTGGGAAACCACTGCCTCGGGCCCCTGGGCCCAGGGGAAGGACGTGGCGGCTCAGAAGCCGGAGTCTGGGTTTAATTTGGCTGCAGGTGGAGGGGGGAGCGGAGGCCCCACCCGCCCTGGGACCAGGCCGGGATGCCGGGGGGCTGAGGAGGGGCCAGGGCTGGCCAGGCGGGATCCCGCCTTAGCACAAGTACCTACGGTGCCTGGCGTGCTGATGGCTGGCCTCCCCCCTCATGTGTCCCCTAAATCCTAGCCCACCCACCACCTCCCCCCGCTCCCTCCACAAAACCCCCAGTCCCCTCCCCCTCCCTCCGTAGCCTCTCCCCCATAACCCCTCCCCCCTCACTCCATAACACCCCCATTCCTCACCCCATACCTCCCCCACCACTCTGCCCCTCTCCCTCACACCATAGGTCTTCTCTGCCTCTTTGTCAGTTCAAAGCCAGGCTCACCCGCAGGACCCCCCGTCGGCTAGCGGTCACCCCAGCGCCTGCTGCCTCCGGCGGACCCGCCCGCGGGTGTCTGCAAGTGACAACTCCCCCACCCTCAAATCACCGGCCAGGCTCCTGAGGGCAGAGCCACCCCCTTCAGCTATAAGGCAATGGCCCCGGTGCGCCGACCCCAGCCCGCGGTGAAGGGGCCGAGCCTGTGGTACTCACTGCTGGAGCAGTCTGTGCCCCTCCATCCCTGTTCGCACTGGCACTGGTCAGGAGCCACGCACCTCCCGTGGACGCACTCCTTGGTACAGCTGGCTACAGGGAAGGTGGCAAGCAGAAGGATTCAGTCGGGCTTCTCCAAGATCTTGTTTTATTAACATCTAACCTGGCATTTCCAAGGCACATTTCACCCCCAAATGCTATAGACTGGTATCACCCAGCCACCTCTGGGGTGGAACATGGCAGCTATGTAACAGCGCTAAGCAATGCTGCCCAGAGATCACTCAGCCAGCATTGAAATGCAGCACCTCTGGGATGGAACACGGCAGCTATTCAACAGCGCTCAGCAACGCTGCCCAGAGATCACTCAGCCAGCATTGAAATGCAGCCACCTCTGGGGTGGAACACGGCAGCTATTCAACAGCGCTCAGCAACGCTGCCCAGAGATCACTCGGCCAGCATTGAAATGCAGCCACCTCTGGGGTGGAACACGGCAGCTATTCAACAGCGCTCAGCAACGCTGCTCAGAGAGCACTCAGGAAATGCAGCTCCCTGCACGGTGCTCGGCAATACTGCACAGCTATTGCTCCCCCAGCACCGAGATGCAGCCCCCGCAGGTGGCGGATAACCTGGCAGCTGTTTAATAGCCATGTAGCACCAGGGATCACCCACCCGGATCTTCCTAATCCCTGACCTGCAGCAGGGGACCACACCAGTGAGCTGAATCACAGCGCAACCCACCGCAGGAAAGTGTGGGAGCCCCCTATAGTGACCAGTCCATAGAGGAGCCAACCACTGCTTCCTCCCAGAGTCAATCACCTCCCGCCCCCGGCTTGGCCGAAGGGACGCAAAGCTGATGAAACACAGCAATGATTTAGGTCTGGTCTGAGTTTGCTGGGGCGAGGGGGTGGGATGAGGGGGCTGTCTGTGGGGATCAAGGGAAAGTTGCCAGAGGACAGGCAGCCTGCTCTCAATCAGGCCTGGAGCATGCTGGCTTCCCAGCACGGAGCCAGCTGGAAGTGGCCAAGAAGGGTCCCATGGTAGCCAGGTGGCCTGGAGCCATGTGTCTGCAGGAGAGCTGGCAACTAAACCTGTGGCATGGAGAGAAATCTGAGAGGGCCGGAAGGATGTGGGAGGATCAAGGAGTGCAAGACAGGACAAACAGCAACAAGCTGTAAAGAATGTGCGTCCCCTCTGGGGTGGGTCCTGGCAGAGGCCACGCTCGCTGGATGAACCAGGGGCATTACAGAGGTATGATTTCTCAGAGCGCAGGGGAGCCAGGATTTGTTTCAGGGCACACAGTGGGGAGCGAGGGGGCTAGGAGAACTGGGCTAAGCAGACAGGAAAATGAACCATGACCCCCATTTTAGAGATAGGGAAACTGAGGCACGGTGGGGGCGGGAGAACGTTGCTCAGGATCACACAGCAAATCACTTACAGAGCTGGAAATGGAACCCAGGAGTCCTGTGCCCCGGTCTGACCGCAGGCCACCAGGCAGAATAACGCCACCAGACCCCTTCAATTTCTGCAGGAGCATTGCCCCCTGGGGCCCATTAATAACTGTCAGGGACGGACTTACGGACACAAATATCTGCGCTCTCGTAGTAGCCCTGGCAACAGCGGTACCTCTTCCGGTAGTCAATTTTCACCGCCTGTCGGTACGCTGTCTTGTACACAATCCTGTGCCACACAGAGTAAAAAGCAGAGTGACCCCCACATGCAGAACATTTATAGAGAACAAATCACACCTGGGGAACTCACCGCCCCAGGAGTGTGCTAGGGCTCACCCAGAGAATTTACTGTGGTGAGGTCATGTCAGGATTACTGCCACCGTGCTATATATGGCACTGACTGATATAGACAGAGTGTGGGTTACCCAGCCCCCAGGGTAGAGTAGGGGTTCATCAGTGGAGCGCCAGGCTATCCAATAATTCTGATGTTAACCTTTGGAACTCACTGCCACATGTTCCTAACCAGCAGAGCAAACAGCAACGAGATAATATTGGAGTTAATCTGTGAGCCTCCCTGCCTCAGACTGGTTCCAGGTGAGCTCACCGAAATGGGAACAGACTAATGTTAACCTCTGAAACTCACTGCTACTTGTTAGTAGCAGGGTCAAAACAGTGGAACTCACTGCTGCCTGTTAGGAGTGGTGTCAGCTTGTGGGACCCTGCTACCAGGGGGCTGTGCTGGGGTAAGCCCGTGGGATTCCCAGAGAACTCTTGGGGACAGTGAGTGGTGGGTCAGAGGACGTTTGCCACATCCCCTAGGCCGAGGGGCGCTCCTTACTTGTGCTGGGTGCACGGCTTGAGGAAACTCCAGGTTCCATCACACGAGTCCTTGGAGGCCTGAGCGTAGGGGTGGGCGTAGGACTCCTTTGTCGCCGTGGTGAAGCTGCCGGGGAAAAGACAGAGCCACTTCAGTGGCAGCCCAAGGACGGCCAAGGGAAATGGCTGATTCAACTCTCCTCACTGTGGCAGGGCTGTGGCTTAGTGACAGGGGCTCTGCGCCTCCCATGCAGGACACCCGGGGTCCAGTCCCTCTCCTAGCATCCTCATGGCAGCAGCTGGTGCCTTTGGAGCAGAGACACAAGGTTCCTGCCCTATTCCTGGGGACAGACTGCAATGAAGCAAGGTCTGCCAACTCCTGGTGCTTTTCATAAAGCCCCAGCTCCCGGAGTCATGAGATTATGGGGGACATACAGCCTTTTTTTTTAAAAAGGCAAGCTATTTCTAGCCATCATGGTTGTGAAGCAAAGCTTGAAATCGTGACCCCTAAAGGCTGAGACACCAGGAGACAAATTATTATTATTTTTTTTAAATCTCATGATATTTTTTTTGGTTCCTGGGGGTTATGACTGGGGGTTGGCAACACTGGTACCAGCACCTCTAGAGGCACGGAGGGATCATTACAGCCTGGAGCTTCTCAGTCCCTGGCAAAGGGCTATTTTCCAAGTAGATACAGAGACAACCGCAGGTTAATAGCCACACCTCTGGGACCAACAGCTCCTCTGTACGTGACAGTGTAAACGCTGGTCAGGCCAACCCTGCTGTGCTCCAAATATTACCATGTATTGTCGCTACAGAGTGTGCTGAACTCTTTACAGACGTGGACCTAGCCCTGAACAGGGTCCGGTGGCCAAACACCTGCACAGCTGTAACCAAAGCTGACAGGATCACAAGCAAAAGGGGTTAACATGTTAACTGGTTCCTTGTACTCCCTATCTGACTGTCTGTCTCCATCTATTGTCTCGTGTCTTCTATTAAGCTTCTTGGGAGAGGGACAATCTTTAGGTTCTGTGTCTGTACAGCAGCTAGCACTGGGGGGAGAGGGGAGGAGTCTGGTCCGCGACTGGGGTTCCCAAGTGCTACACAATACAAATAAGACATAAGAAGAAGAAAAAGGGCGAAAGAGATAGAGATGAAAAGAAAAAGGGTGAGTAAGGTAAAGCAACACAGAAAGCAACACAGAAAGCAAGCGAGGAAGAAACGCTCCATTGCAAGGATCAGAGATGAACGCCCACCGAGAGGTCTCAGGGGAGCAGAGCGGAAGGCCTGGAACCACACGCCCATTTCACCCCAGGGCTCCCTGCCCTCCCCCCCCCACTCCTTACCTTTCCCAATAGCTGCAAACATTGGGGTCGCTGGGGTTGAGAGAGGTCGCCAGGTGCATCTGCAGCCCCAGCAGAAGGACCACGTGCAGCTTCATCCTGGTGGGAGGGGAGAGAAACGAAGAGGAGTTGACAACGAGGAAGAAAGCCCAAGAAGCTCACTGTCAAGAGGGTCACAGAGGTGGCTGCCCACGCTACAGGATTTGTAGCGAGGCCAAAGCACAAAGCTCTGCTCCTTGAGCTAAAGGACGAACTTTGTTAGCTGGGAGCAGTAGTAGGTTGTTATCCACTTTGTGTTAGACCTGCAGATGTTGCCAGGAGCTTTGGGAATCATGCAAGGTTGCTCTGCACCCCTGGAAAGGGGGCACATCCTGTTTTATTCAGGCCCGAAACTGAGCCAGGGATGGACCCAAACCAACGCTGCCAGTTCAAACAGAACAAGCTGTAACCAAGTCCACCGAGACACCCTGGCCGACAGTAAGGATCGAACCCAGAGCGAAGGTGGCAAAAGCACAAGCTCCTACCACTGGGGGTAAATCCCCCCGCAGTGAGTCAGTAACAGGCCATTGAAGTTAACGGGGCTGGCCACTCGTTAGAACCTCGTTCACTACAACATCAACTAGATTGCGCATGTTGATATACAACGCCACCCATCGCCCCGCCGGCTTTGAGTTCAGATCTGGCTTTGACCTTGGTGGTCAGCCCCTGTGTCTGTGTTGAGGGTAAAATCAAATCCCAAATTTGAGCATCACTGAATATTCAACCGACCTGTGCGCATGGCCCCCACCGCACCAGCCCCTCCAGAGTAATTACTGACCCCTCCCTCCCCGCTGCAATGGGATGTTGGACACCTACCAACCTTGACACATCTGCCCTAAGTGACTGGCCCAAGATCTCACACAGGGAACCCATGGCTGAGCCGGGAACGGGGCCCAGAACCTCCGCCCCGCTGCGGTCCCCTGCTCATTGAACCATCCTTGTTCCAATGCACTGTGTTCACTCTAGGTAGGTTCTTACAACCCTCTCATCCCCTGGTCTCCGAGCCCCATCCTTCCATTCTAGCCAGACAGACAGTCCCCAGACCGGGAGGGGAAAGCCACCGGGGCTGAGGAAAGCACAAGGCCGAGCCCGTCTCCCCAGCGTGACGGGCGCTTTTCTTAGCTGGCTTTTTGTGTGCGACGCCAGCCTCTTCCCCGCCAGCCAGCTGGGAGCTCGGAGCAGGAAGCGCGGTGTGAAAACAGGAAGCAGGTTGTGTCAAAGATGCTTCCCTCCCACCCCGGCTGATGGCACCTCCACATGGGCGGGCGGCAAGGGCCACATCAGCCCGAGACTTCTAAGAACACCACGTCCCGGCTGGGAACAAAACAGGCCTGCTCGGTCCCTGTCGCCAGGCCTGAGCTCACCGTTACGTCCCACGCCGCTCTGTTGCCTGCTCGTTGCCTCTTGTCTTAGGGTCTGTCTACACTGCGGGTGCAATTCCCAGCTTGGGCAGACATGCGTGCGCTTGTTCTGTGCATGCTAGCTCATGAAACATAGCCCTGGAGCCTTGGCTAGACACCCAAGTACGTACCTCGGGTCTCGGCTGGGTCTGTTTTTAGCACGATCAAAGCTAGCAAGTGTACATTTACCTGAGCTGAAATTCCTGCTGAAGGTGCTGTGTGGATATAACCTTGTATGTAGACGCCAAACTCTTTGGGGCAGGAATTGTTGTTTCATTGTATGCAGAATGGGAAGAGACTGTCTAGGAAGGAGTATGGCAGAAAGGGATCTAGGGGTTATAGTGGACCACAAGCTAAATATGAGTCAACAGTGTGATGCTGTTGCAAAAAAAGCAAACATCATTCTGGGATGTATTAACAGGTGTGTTGTGAGCAAGACACGAGAAGTCATTCTTCCGCTCTACTCTGCTCTGGTTAGGCCGC